CTTAACTGAGCCTTGTATCCCAGAAAGCTATTATCCGAAGCATTGCCTTCAGTTGGCCCTGTGTTTCGGATATCCATTTTTTAAATAACTCTAGTCTTTCAGCTGAAGTCAATCTTCAGTAACACTTGTATCCCAGAAGCATTGCCTTCAGTTGGCCCTATGTTTCGGATACCCATTTTGAAGAAGTGAAGAAATTGTTTATTCAACTGAAGCCATACTTCAATTTCTGGGGGGGCAAGAAGCACTATCAGTGCAAGTATGTTCGGCAGAATTGAAGAAACAGTAAAGCATTCAAAAACAAAGCAACTGAAGAAAAGAGCATCAAATTAATAATTTATGCTCAGAAATCGAGCTACAAGTTCAATTAAACTGTATCGGCAGCCGCCCACAAGCGGAAAATAACAGCTGCCGAAATACGTACATAAGCAAAAAAATAAACTGTTGTACGACAAGGCAAGCTGAAGCAAAAAACAAGGCAAAAAATTCAGAAAGCGGCAAGTCTAAAGTTAAGCACATGATGAACCGCAAGATTCTGAAGACGACTGCCCGAGTTTCTATGCTTCAGCCCGAGATCAGACTGATCAGCATTGTTGAGCCCCATGGTGGCCTCAACCCCAGCAGCAGAAGAAGCAGGCTTTGCACTCTGCCGAGCCTCCCTTTCCCTCTGTTCAGCCTCCAAATCCATTCTCTCAGCTTCTTCTTCGGCTTCCTCAGCCTTAAGAATTTCAGCTTCGACTGGAGTTGCATACTTCATATGAGGGTCTTCGGGATTCTGGACCCATTCAGCACATTTGGACCACATGGTTAGGTACTGGGGCATTTGGACCAGTCCAACTTCGGCTCAGCATGAAGGCAGACTCTTCGGCACACTCTGAACCCGTTTCTGAAACCTATTTCATATTCTTCCTGGGTATAGACACAGACTTTGAGTAGAGCCTCAGCATCAGCCAACTTCTTCTTTGTCTCCACAAGTCTTCCTTGGATTTCTTCAGCTCATCGGCGAGCTTGGAGGAGGAACCTTTCAGCTCATTCAGCTCCTGCTGAACTTGGGAAGCCTCTGTCTGAGCCTGGGCCACTTCTTCCTTTTTGGCCATCAGCTGATCCTTAGCTTCTTAGAGCTTAGCTCTCTGAGCTTCAGCAACAGCAGCAGCCTCTGAGAGCTGGACATCCCTGGCTTGGAGCATCTCTTCAGCAGCCATTCTGCTGGCTTCAAGAGCTTCTAGCTGTTGCTGCACTTCAGCTTGTGCAACAGCTCCTTCCTGAATTCGGCTCTCAATGGTAGCCTTGAATTCGGAGATGTCCACTCCCATGTGCTCTTGGAGGAATTTTTCCCCTTCCATCAGTGGGGGAAAAACTTCCTTCTCCATAGCAACGCAGAAGGTTTTGAGGGCTTCAGCAGCTTTTTTCTCATATTCTTCACCCTTCTGCTGCTTCTCTTCAGTTGCTGCTTGCTTCAGCTTAGCAAGCTTTAACTCCTCTTCGGCTACCTTTTTGTCGTGCTCGGCAGCGTCCACCCTATCTTGTAGGGTATCTATCAGCTCTCCAGTGAGAGTCTGATTGTGCACGAACCTAAAACAGGAGCACAAGTTAAAAAAAAAATATAAATAAAAATAGAGCTGAATTTTAGAGGAAATAAAGGCAAGGAAAATCACCTGCATCATCAGCAGTTGGTTAGACCTGGCTGGGTCAGGAAATGATCTGCTGGATTCGCCCATCCCAGCAGTGGCCTTCAGCGACCAGATTCTTGCCCTATCTACTTCGGACATGCCAGCAAAATCGCCGAAGTAGGCTGCAGCACCTTCACGGTTCTGACCCCATATGAGGTCCCAGATGTGATCTGGGATTGGAATTCGGGGGGCCGAGAAACCCATTTCTCCAGATTGCAGAGTCTGGAAGGAAGGAAAGGATGACGATGGAGCTTCTTTAACTTTGGATGGCTCAGCATCCTCCTTCTTCTCAGAAGAGTCAATTATTATGACTTCTTCTTCTTCAGGGGTGAGGACGAAGGCCTCAACCTCTCTTGCAATGTCTGCCGTGAAACCCTCAGCACTGGGCATCACGACATCCTCATTCTTGTGCTCAGCAGCACTCTCTTGAACTTCTTCTTGGACCCCTCCCTTAGATTCGGGAGTTCTCTGATCCACCTCCATCTCAGGAGGTGGCGGAGGGGTCTTTTGAGGTGATTGGGGTGCGGGCCGGGGAACCCTCGGCGATCCATTGCCTTCCTCGGGTTCCCTTATTTCGACGCCGATGGTCATCGGCCTCCGCTGAAAGTCATGGGGGCCGATGATGGCCATTCTTCGGCGCCTTTTCTGAAGCGGCTGCTTGTCCATGTCTGAGTCTGAAGACTCTTCTTGTATTTGGTCTTTGGGACGAACAGGAGCTTTCCCTTCCCTGTGTCTGTTACTCTCTTCAGACTGTAACAGACAGGGGGGAGGAAGAATGTGAGTACAAAAAAAAAAAAAAAGAAAAAAGAAAGACAAAGTTAAGTCTGAAAGCTCACCGAGGTCTTCAGCAAAGCCTCGTCTTCTTCAGCTGCCCTAGCTGCAGCTTCTTCTTCAGCAGCTCTGGAGGACCCTTCTCCTCCTTCGCAAGCTTCGAGAACCCGTGTAACCTCTTCGGCTGTACGGGCAGCTTCAGCTTCTTCGTCCAGCAGCTGAAACCAGGGGTCTCTCTTCTTCCACCAAGGCTTCTGCCTCTGATACAGAACAATAGCCTCAATTTGGAAGTGGGAAGAGTCTAGATGAACTTCCCTATGCCTCGGTTCAGTGATAGACGGGGCCCGATCAGTTACAACTCGTTCTCGATTGACGCAAAGACGAGCGTAGTTAATGCCAACGTTGGTCTCGTCCCGTTATGAAAAAGAAAAGGGGAAAGGTCAGTTCAGTTAGGTTGGCACAGCATAAAAAAGCAAAGTGAAAGAGGAGAAAAAGAGATAATTAAAAGGCCTCGGCCCCAGCCAAAGAAGCTTACCATCCTTAAACTTTCGGCTGAGGCCGAAAGCTGCTAGCATGTTCTCTTGGAAAACATAATGCGTATCGGGGAGCCAAGTCTCCGGGATATGCTGCATTCGGCCGCTGCCCCCCCGGTTCGGCAGCTTGCCGAAGATATTTTGTTGATCAAGGTTCGGATCCGGCCCGTTATCTGCGGGGGGACCTAGACTTCCCATGTCGGGATTAGGCTCAGCAAGGTACCGGGGAGCGCTGAAGACGCAAGGGTGGCCCGGATCCGTGGGTGCCCTAACCCAAATCCATTGACCTCTCCAGTCCTTGTCTGAAGAGTCGTTCGGCCACATGGTCAGGTACTGGGGCCGAGACTCAATTCGGTACCACCCAGAACCATGGCTTCTGTGCCCACTTTGAATATTTGGCACTAGCCGATGAAGCTTTTTGAAGCAGTGCAGGTTCGGCACATACTTGAAGAACTTGCAGACCCATAAGTATGTCATCACCCTTCGGATGCTGGTGGGAGTTAGCTGACATAAGGAGATATTGTAATGGATCAGCAAGTCTCGGACGAATACGTCCAAAGGGAACCTCAGCCCATACTGAAGCTGTCTTGTGTACACCCCCACGTACCCCGGGGGTGGACGATGGATTCTATCGGATGCCACGGGCATTCGACACCAATACCCATCAGCTTCGAAAATGCCGTAATGCAACTCAATTTGCTCGGCAAACCGATATTGTTCGGCATTCTCCACCCACCATGAGTAGGGGCGGTTCTTTATCATGGCCGAAGCAACTTCGGCATTCTCCCATTCTGAAAACTCGGGAGGATATCCCAAAGGACAGCGGGAACTTCATCGTCCCGTCCAGAAGCGCTCGGCCCCTCCGTTCTCTAAGGAGGAGCCGAGGAAATTGGAGTCGCCCTAATTCCTTCAGCAGGGTCAGACTCTGGCCTTTGTCCATTCCAGGTCCCAATCTTGTTCCTAGGATCGGGAATTGGCCTTGCTCTTCTTGGAGCACGGGCTCTACCTCTAACTCCTCTTGCCATTGATTATTTCGAAGAAAAAAGTCGAAAAAAAGGGAAGGAGTTCGAATTCGAAGAAAAATAAACTGAAATCAAAGGAATTTACCTTAATCTGAAGCGAAAGTTGTCGATTTACAAGTTCGTAGTGGCAAGTCTCAGTTTCTAAGCTTAATGCTCGGGGAATTTGCGAAGTTTTGATGCGGGTTCTTGGGTTCTCTCGAGAATTCTGGGTTTGTGTTGGTGAATAAGTGAGGAGAGATGACGCGCCTCTGATTATATCTCCAGAAATGGGAATACGGGGAGTCCGCGTTTCAATTTCTCTTAAATACCCCACTAAGTAACCGTTAAACACACGACCTTGTGATTAAACTGCCCATTATCCGTCCAACTTCCACAATCATCCGCCTTAACCGTTGTTATCTCATTAATTACGGTTTAAATTCAAACTTTTGGATTAATTAAATCATTTACTTCCCTCCTTTTCTGAATTAAATCAAACCCGACCCATCATCCTTCCAAATCGGGTATGGGGGGCAAGTTGTTTGGGTCCAATTTAGTCAAATTGGGCCTAGGCATTAAATGATCCAATTAAAAGCCCAAGGTCAAGGTTCAACTCTCCAATTGTGCTAAAGTCAAAGGTCAGCCCTCAAAGCAAGCCAATTGGGCTAAGGCCCAACTTCTCTATGTATGAAGAGGTATAAAATCCATCAATATTCAGATATTCACATTCATTCATTCATTCATTCATTCATTCATTCATTCATTCATTCATATATTCTCATAGATTCTCATATATTCTCATATATTCAAGCAAAGCCTCAAGCAACTAATTCTCTTGCATAGTGTTCTCTTTCTACACATTGTACTGACTTTAGCATCGGAGGGGCCTTCCTCGGCAACACCCCCGAGGCTAGTTTACGTGTGTTTACTGTGCAGGAAACCTTCGGCCCAACATTACTTGGACCAAATCTAGTCTTCCCCGTTTCAGCGGACCTTCGGCAAGGTCCCATTGTTTTCACCCGAAACACCTCCTTTTCTCATATTCTCTCGTTTCATCTGAGCCACCTCGATATCGAGTTGGGAGTACACGGACACAAACTCTCCGATAGCCATGCTACAAGCCCCACCAACTAGGCCAGCAAACCCGGTAAGTATCATAGCCTTGACATCTTGCTTAACTGCACCTACTCCCATCATGAGCGAGGCTGTCGAAACAAGCCCGTCGTTGGCCCCTAGGACCGCGGCTCTTAGCCATTGAGAACGTTTCGAGTAGTCGAAACCATTGTTTTCATCATCAACAATAACTTGTTCATGTTGGTTCTCTTCATCTAGGGTGAGAGGAAGAGCTTTTTGTTTAGTAGCCATATATATTTATTAATGTAATAAAAAAGAGTTCAAATACTTTTAATATGATGAGATAAGATGATTTTTGTAGTTAATTAAAAGAGTATGGTGAACACACGCCTACAAATAAAATGGTGATTTATAGGAAGTTGAGAGGGACAATAATAGTGGGGATGAGCACTACTTATCTTATGGAAAAGCAAAAGATGCATGGATAAGTAGTAGTACATGTTTATGAAAACACTAGCTATTAACTTTATTAATTTGTGGTTAAAATCACTATTTCAATAATTTAAGGAAGGTGGATTTTTTTTTGGCTTTGATGCATGCTAGTTGATATGATTGGTTTAATAGTTTTCATAGGCTTTTGTTACTCTTTACTTAGTATTATTTTTTGACTTTATACACAATTTATATACTTTATCATGTTAATGATATATATATATTTTATTCATTTTTTTATTAATTAACACGTTATGATCTGACTTTAACATGCATTATTACTCACAACAGTTATTATGATAGTCATGTAGAGTCTATCATATTCACTTCATTTTATGTACAATCAAAGTAAGGTTGTTAGAATTGGGATCCTACCTTAGATCGATGAGGGAGGTGGGATCGAATCGATAGAATTGGATCGTAGGATCGTAAGATCCTACTTATTTATAACAAATAATATTATATATTATACTTTATCATGTTAATGATTTATAAATATTTTATTCATTTTTTTTATTAATTGACACGATCTGACTTTAACATACATTGTTACTCAAACATTTTTTTCTAAAGGGTTTCAATGATAAAAGACATTGATTTGCTTAAGAAAGGTCGATCTTCATTTAGCTTTGTCCGTATGGTAATTAGGAGATTAATAACACAAGTTTAAAATTGATAAATTATGTGCAAATTTGTCAAGAATAAGACCTTAACTATGACAATTACAAGTTATCAATTGATAAAATCATATTAATGTCTCGGATTCGCTAATTTATTAGCGATAATTATTGAATGCATTAAATTGAGCTGCATATAACCTAATGAGTAATAATAAAAAAATATATATATGTCAAAATAAATTAAAGTCTCATAATATAGTAAAATGTTAGATCGGATTGTAGGATCGTAATAAAATCTTAGGGTTGTGTTGAGATCCTAGTATGATCGTAAGATCCTACAAACTTTAAGTTCCTAACAAAGATCCGAATCGATCACGTAAATTTGGATTGTAAAATTGTAGGATCCTTAAGATCAGGTTCGAGATTTTAACAACTATATCCGACAAGGTAATAGCAGAAGTTGATTAATTACTATCAAACTATATGAATGGATTGCTGAGGCAGAAAGCATAAAAAACATTAGGGTATATAATAATAATAATAATACGGAGAGCACAACTGAAGTCCGTAATAGTTATTATTAGGAAAGAGTGTGTCCCTATTATACAGTCTCAACACTTACGGTGTGATAACACATACACATGACGGAATAGTAAATTAAAAGATTATGCCCTCCACACATATACGCCACCCACTACCTCTTAGCGCGTGTTTTCTTTAAGCTTAATTTCAGTTCAGTTCAATTCCAATTATTTCAGTTCAGTTCATTTTAGTTCCTAATTTCCTTATCTCATAAACAATTCATTTCAACTCTATTTAGTTCAGTTCAATTCAGTTCAACTCCAATCAATTCAGTTCAGTTCAACTCCAATCAATTCAGTTCAGTTCAACTCCAATCAATTCAGTTCAGTTCAACTCAATTCTATAAATCAGAACATACAGACCCTTAATAATATACTTCGTATTTCACTATCCAATGCTTGGGTATAAAGTCACTTAACAAACTTTTTTTTTTTTTGGGTGTCTTTACCTATCAACTTCTTGCTTTTTTTACACAATCAACATAATTTAAAGTTCATTGTTTACTACTCTATCTGTTGCATAATAATCGCAACATTATTTTGTCTTTTACACTATTTATATGATTACTTTGACTCTACTTTTTATCAATATATAAAAACACATATATTATTGTTATGTAAATAATTTTTGTATATTTTTATAAAAAAAAATTTGTAATTATATATTATTAGGAAAAATTTGCCCGGGTAAGGTTTTGGGTCCTTTTTATCTGTTATGGGTACAAATAAAGCTTGAAATTGGCAAAATAATAATGTAAACGACTCTTTTTTTTTTATGTCGAGAAATATCTCAATTTGCGTGTCGCTATTTGACCTCTGTGGATCTAACTTAAGCTCAGAATTGGGTACAAATAAAGTGAATGGGCCATTTTGCAATTTTCACAGTAAAAAAATTAACAATCTTAACATGTAAAACGAGACATTTATGTCATTAATTGCCAATTTTGAGCTTTATTTGGATCTTTCAAAGGACCCAAATGTCCCTCAAAACCTTACATGTATAGTTTTCATAGTTAAAAAATAACGACATGTAATCGAGATTTTCTTGACACATAAAATGGAGCATTTATGTTATTTTTTTTTAATCAATTTAGAGCTTTAATTGTACTTCTATAAGGGTTAATCTAATCCCCAAAACCTTAACGTAAAATATTTTAATATGCAAATTGAGAAATAATTTATTTTAATTAAAATAGTATGTCAAAAGAATCATTCATAAAATGACATGTGTCATCATTAACCCTAATGACTAATGGAGAATCAATCATTAATATCATTTGGTAAATTTTTTCAAAATTAGATGGCATTTGGTCAATTTTAAATAACGCAATAACATTCGATGAATTTTAAAAAAGTTCAATGGCATCCGTGAAATCGCCGTTAACTTCATATATTAATAAATTTGTGTAATCTTTAAAGGATGTGAGCTCCAGGAGACCAGGAGTGTGCCTCGCTCAATTCATTTTTTTTTTTTTAATGAATTTTTACTAATGGTAATGACAACTATAACTAACAAATAATAACCAGAATAGTCAGATACATGATATTAATGATTTGAAGTTTGAAAGGTCTGTCAATTTCTCACTTAGTTATTGGTAAAATATTAGGAAATTTTGACAATTACCACCTTCTGTTATGTCCATTTTAGCAATTATCACCTTGTATTTTTTTTTTTTTTTTTTGAAAATTACCACCTTCTACTTTAAAAAACATCAAAAGTTACCACCTTCTTGCCCTCCAACTACCACATGACGTCATTTTGGGTCCATTCTTTTCCTTCCCTCCCTATTTCCCTCACATTTCTCATTCTTATTTGGATTCTCATCTCCCCTTTCACTTTTATTCCCCCAAACCACCAATAATTGTTCGTCAATTTTGATTTGGAGGAGTGAATTGAAGTGTTTTTTATTGTTTGGGGGAAAAAAAAGTGAAAGGGGGGATGAGAATCGAGTTAGGAATGAGAAATGTGAGGGAAATAGAGAGGAAAGGGAAAGAATGAGCCCAAAATGATGTTATGCGGTAGTTGGGAGGCAAGAAGGTGGTAACTTTTGATGTTTTTGAAAATAAAAGCTGATAATTTTCAAAAAAAAAATAGAAGGTGGTAATTGCTAAAATGGACTAAACAAAAGGTGGTAATTGTCAAAATTTCCAAAATATTACAAGGAAACTTGTGACATGCAAAGGGACATGCTATATTGCTATTGCATAATTTGCACGGGAGAGAAACGATCTGCACCCCTTTTATTAAAGCTAATAAGCAAGTAAAGTTTTGTCAACGAACCACAGTTGTTAAATTCCATTAATCCACAATTATTGTATAAATCCTTACTTCTTAGCCAGGAGTTTCTTATAATTAGGAGTACTTATTAGTTAGTAAGGCCATTTCCAAGAGTGACATAATTAAGAGATTATTCAAACTCCTCTAATATTATTTCATCTACACAAATTGTTATAAACTTTCTATGTATCAATCCCTTGTAAATAAGGATCATAATCAATCTTAAACTTGATCCATTAAAAATTTAAAACCGATATGACCAATTATTATTCGATTTTGTTTGTCTAGGTAGGACATGATGTTACACCACGTGTCCAAGCTATAGTGATCGACTATATGTATTATAACGAAATAACATATACTGCTATTAAATTTCAATAATACTATATATTGAGTATATATAATGATATAGCATATGAAAACGAACAACTAACATGTTAACTAAAACAATTACCATTGAGGAACAACTAAATCAAGTGTAAAAGCCATAGCCACCCAACAAAACAATAAAACCCTCAAACCAGCCCTAAACCAAGATGCACCACCCAAAAACGCCCCCAACCACCCAAACACCGCGAAACACATACTCATCACCCCTGCCACCGCGCCAAACCTTATAACATAACCCTTGACAAACAACCTGGCCATCAAAGGGATCATGCCCCCCGTCGAAAACACAAGGGCCGACGAAACAGCACCCTGTAATGGATGCACTAATCCCTTCTCGGCCTCTCTTCTCCTACTACTAATAGACCGAAACTCACCCACCGCCGTGATAATAGCCCCAACAAGGATGCCCGCTAACCCACAAAGTACTATTATACTTGTTGATAAGTATATTAGGTGACTCGTACTTCGTAGCTTTGTCCGCCCGATCGGGCGGACATTGCCCGGTCTGACCGGGCGGAAGAAGAAGAGGTGCCTGGCAAATTCGTTGAAGAAGCTGCTCTCGCGCCCGACCGGGCGAGCCTTCGCCCGACCGGGCGAGCCTTCGCCCGATCGGGCAGACCTTGCCCGGTCTGACCGGGCGGTGGGGGTTGGATACGTTGAAGCATTCGTATGGAGTTTTCTTCTCGCGCCCGATCGGGCAGACCTTGCCCGGTCTGACCGGGCGGAGAAGGAAAAATGCGGAGACGCGGATTTTACGATTTAAAGTTATCTTTTATGTTATCTTTTTGCCCAAGTATCTTTTATTTTAGGGATTAATATAAAACCTCCCTAATATCAGTATTAGGGTCAAAAGAGAGACAGAGTGAGAGCCGTTCTTGAGAAATACAAGAATCATCTTTGTAATCTTTGCAGTTTATAGTGAAATCATTCGATCTCGGTGCCCGTGGACGTAGCTATCACATCGATAGTGAACCACGTAAATTCTTGGTGTTGTTCTTATTGTTTGCATTGAATTTCTTTATTGTTTTCTTGTTTGTTTTCGACCTTTGCTTCCGCTGTCGCACAACAATTGGTATCAGAGCTCAGGTTCAATCCTTGGAGAGTTTCTTGAAGATAACAATGGCAGGAGATTCAACAATAAGAATTGAGAAGTTTACCGGGAAAAATAGTTTCGGGCTATGGCAAATTAAGATGAAGGCTCTGTTAAAACAACAGCAGATATGGCGTCCGTTGGCTCCAAAGAGTACTACTTCGGAGTCAGGAGACGGACCGACTGACTCGCAGTTAGAAGTTATGGAAGAGAAGGCACACTCTACCATATTACTTAGTCTTGATGATCAAATCATCACGGAGGTTGCTGATCAGGAAACGGCGGCTGGATTGTGGCTGAAGCTGGAGTCATTGTATATGACTAAGTCGTTGACCAACAAATTATTACTGAAACAGCGGTTGTTTAGCCTCCGGATGCAGTCAGGTACTTCCTTACGGGAACATCTAGAAAAACTTAACTCTATTTTGCTTGATTTACGTAATTTAGATGTTAAAATTGATGATGAGGATGCTGCGTTGATTTTACTTGTATCTCTACCGTCTAGCTTTGAGAATTTTGTAGAGTCTTTTGTTGTTGGTAAGGATTCTATAACCTTAGAAGAAGTGAAGGCAGCACTTCATACTAGGGAACTCAGAATGAAAGCTACGAGTGATAATGGGGATAATGGTAGTGGGTTATTTGTTAAGTCCGGAAAGTCTAAAAAGAATAAGGGGTTTAACAAGGGGAACAATGCTGGGTCGGGTGCTGGAAACGGCAAGGATGGATCTAGTAAAACTACTACTAAAACATGTTATTACTGTAAAGAACCGGGTCACTTTAGGAATAATTGTCCGGTGAGGAAAAACAAGTCCCAGGCTGCTGTAGTTGAAGAGAAACCGAATGAGAGCTATAATTCAGAGGAAGATTTAGCATTAGTCAGTTCTGCTAGGTCTGATGATTTATCTGATAACTGGGTTCTAGATTCGGGGTGTTCGTTCCATATGTGTCCACGTCGAGATTGGTTTGATACATATGAACCTCGCAATGGGGGTATGGTTATAGTCGGTAACAATGCTCCATGTAAGGTCACAGGTATTGGTTCCATGAGGTTGAGGACTGTTGATGGGCGGAGGTTAACTTTGACTAATGTACGGCATGTTCCTGCTTTAGGAAAGAATCTGATTTCATTGGGTACCCTGGATGAATTGGGGTACAATGGTGTGTTTTCAGATGGGGAGTTGTGTATTTTCAGAGGTTCTGAGTTGGTACTTAAGGGTATCAAAAGGAACACCCTCTATGTTTTTGAGGGTGTTACACTGCCTAGTTCTGCGGTTTGCGCATCTGTATCTCACCAGGAGATGACTAAGATTTGGCACATGAGGCTTGGTCATATGGGGGAGAAGGGGATGCAGCTATTGTCCAAGAGGGGTCTTCTATCCGGGGTCAAGGTTGCCAACCTTGAATTTTGTGAGCATTGTGTGTTTGGTAAGAAACACAGGTCAAAGTTCAGCAAGGGTGCTCACATTACTGATGCAGTGCTCGATTACATCCATTCAGATTGCTGGGGTCCATCTAGAGTTGAAGGTATGGGAGGTTACCACTATTTTGTGTCATTTGTTGATGACAAGTCCCGATACACATGGCTTAGGTTGCTTAAGTCAAAGGATGAGGCCTTCAAAGTTTTCAAGCAATGGAAAGCTTTGGTGGAAAATCGACAAGGAAGGAAGATCAAGAAGCTACGAACGGACAATGGGCTAGAGTTTTGCAAAGACGAGTTTAATCAGTTCTGTGCAGATGAGGGTATAGGTCGGCATCATACTGTCAGGAAGACACCACAGCAGAACGGTGTAGCAGAACGGGTTAATCAGACACTGCTAGAGAGAGTTCGATGCATGCTCTCTAATGCAGGGCTTGGGAGGAGGTACTGGAGTGAAGCTGTGTTAACAGCTTGTTATGTCATTAATAGGGGCCCTCATTCTGGAATTGATTCCAAGATTCCGTTTGAGATCTGGAGTGGTAAGTTGCCTAATTTTTCGAATTTGAAGATTTTTGGTTGTGTTGCTTATTATCATGTTATTGAGGGTAAGCTGGATCCACGAGCCAAGAAGGGGTGTTTTGTTGGGTACGGGGATGGTGTGAAGGGGTTTAGAATTTTTTCACCTTCGGAGGGTCGGGTCATTCTTAGTAGGGATGTTACTTTCGATGAAAACACCATGTATTCAATTAAAAATGCAGAGATTTCAGATTTGAGAAGGGAAGGAGACAATTTATTACAGACAGATGGGGTACTTGAGGTACATCAGTCTACCATTGCTGATTTACCTCGGGTACAATATATTGATGATGATGCTGATGTTCCAGTGCCGGGTACTCCTGAACCTGAGATTACTCCTACTCATTCTAACTCTGGGGATGAGGTGGAGCAATCTAATCAGGGGTCATCTAGTCAACCTGACACCATTCTTGAGATGCCTAAACGAGTTATCAAGAAGCCTGTTAGATTGATTGAAGAGATGGAGGGAAGAAATTGCTGTGTTGATGCGATGACAGGTTATGCATTGAGTGTAGCTGATGATGTAGAGTCATTTGAACCTGCCACATATAAACAAGCAATTAGTTGTAGTGAGTCTGCGCAATGGCTTGCCGCAATGGGTGAAGAGATGCAGTCCCTTTACAAGAACAGAGTGTGGGAACTGGTAAAGGTACCGGAAGGGAGGAAGCTTGTGGGTTGTAAATGGATTTACAAGAAGAAAGAAGGGTTGTCGGAAACTGAGCAAATACGTTTTAAGGCTAGGCTAGTTGCTAAGGGGTTCAGTCAGGTAGAAGGGGTTGACTTTGTTGAGATATTCTCACCTGTGGTTCGACATACTTCTATCCGTGTGTTATTGTCAATTGTAGCACATTTTGATCTTGAGCTGGAGCAGTTGGATGTTAAAACGGCCTTCCTTCATGGCGATTTGGAGGAGGAGATTCTGATGAAGCAGCCCGAAGGATTCGAAGCTCCTGGAAAGGAACACTATGCCTGCAGATTGCTAAAGTCATTGTATGGACTTAAGCAATCCCCCCGACAGTGGTACAAAAGGTTTGATTCTTTTATGGTTTCACAAGGTTTTGACAGGAATTCATATGATTGCTGTGTGTATCATAGTAAGCTGGATAATGGTTCCATGATTTATCTTTTGTTATATGTTGATGACATGTTGGTTGCCACAAAGAATAAATCTGATATTGCTAGATTAAAGGAGATGCTTAACTCGGAGTTTGACATGAAAGACTTGGGTGCAGCTAGGAAGATTTTGGGTATGGAGATCTACAGGGATCGGGCTAGAGGTAAGCTTTTCTTGACTCAGAAAAGCTACATTGAAAAGATTTTGTCTCGTTTTGGGATGGAAAAATCGAAGCCTATAAGTACGCCAACTACTGTTAGTTGTAAGTTGTCTTTGTCTATGTCACCTCAATCAGAGGAGGAGTTGTCTTATATGTCTAGAGTTCCATATGCAAACGCGGTTGGTTGTTTGATGTATGCTATGGTCTGTACTAGGCCGGATATTGCGCATGCTGTTAGTGTTGTAAGCAGGTTTATGGCTCGACCTGGGAGGGAACACTGGCAAGGGGTGAAAAGGATTTTTCGCTACCTGAGAGGGACAGCTGATATTGGTCTTGTGTACGGGAATGGTAAGGAATGCTTGGTCACTGGGTACAGTGATTCTGATTATGCAGCTGATGTGGATACCAGGAGGTCTGTGACTGGTTATGTGTTCACTTTGGGTGGTTCTGTGGTTAGTTGGAAGTCTACATTGCAGTCATCAGTTACGTTGTCAACTACTGAAGCTGAGTATATGGCTCTAACTTCTGCAGCTAAGGAGTCTATTTGGCTCAAAGGCCTAGTAGGTGAACTGGGTATTGCACAGGATTTTGCTACAGTGTATTGTGATAGTCTAAGTGCGATTTGCTTAGCTAAAGATCAAGTACACCATGATCGGACGAAGCACATTGATGTCAGGTATCATTTCTTGCGTACTGACAAGAGGATTAAGGTGAAGAAGATTGGGACTGCTGACAACCCGGCTGATTTCTTCACTAAGCCTGTTCCGTTTAGCAAGTTTAAACATTGCTTAGACTTGCTAAATATTGATTACTACGTGATGTAGTAGGCCCTGAGGGGCGAAGTTGGGGAGCTCCTGGTGTAGGTGTGTTGGCATTAAGGTGGAGCTTGCCCGGGGCTTGTGATGCAGGTGGAGCATTATGAGTTGTTATACTTGGAGACGAGTATGTGATGGGTCTTGGTTGAAGACTTATCGGGATGTATGGCTTATGCATGAGTCTTGCATCGGGTTTGGCTTGAGATGTTTTTTCACTATGTCTTGATGGGGTCGTTTGCTGACTACGAGTTCTCGTCAAGGTGGAGATTGTTGATAAGTATATTAGGTGACTCGTACTTCGTAGCTTTGTCCGCCCGATCGGGCGGACATTGCCCGGTCTGACCGGGCGGAAGAAGAAGAGGTGCCTGGCAAATTCGTTGAAGAAGCTGCTCTCGCGCCCGACCGGGCGAGCCTTCGCCCGACCGGGCGAGCCTTCGCCCGATCGGGCAGACCTTGCCCGGTCTGACCGGGCGGTGGGGGTTGGATACGTTGAAGCATTCGTATGGAGTTTTCTTCTCGCGCCCGATCGGGCAGACCTTGCCCGGTCTGACCGGGCGGAGAAGGAAAAATGCGGAGACGCGGATTTTACGATTTAAAGTTATCTTTTATGTTATCTTTTTGCCCAAGTATCTTTTATTTTAGGGATTAATATAAAACCTCCCTAATATCAGTATTAGGGTCAAAAGAGAGACAGAGTGAGAGCCGTTCTTGAGAAATACAAGAATCATCTTTGTAATCTTTGCAGTTTATAGTGAAATCATTCGATCTCGGTGCCCGTGGACGTAGCTATCACATCGATAGTGAACCACGTAAATTCTTGGTGTTGTTCTTATTGTTTGCATTGAATTTCTTTATTGTTTTCTTGTTTGTTTTCGACCTTTGCTTCCGCTGTCGCACAACAATACTCTTGACATGATAATGTTTTGTGATCACACCAACACCCATCATAAGTGAGGTAGTAGTAAACAACCCGTCAATTGTTTCTAGGATCATGGTTCGAAGCCATTGAGCTTGTTTTTTGTACTCAAATTCGTCGTTGGCTAATCGATCAATGCGACGTTGGCTCATCTCTTCGTCGGGGTTGGTTTTATGTTGGGTTGTTTCATGCTTCATGGTAGTATTTACTAACTGATTTGGCTCCATTTTTTTGGTGTAATTAGAACTTAATTAGGAGGAGTTACTAAAAAAAGGGATGTATAATATGAGTTAGGTCATTACACAAATTAAACTATGCTATTTATAAATGTTTAGTTTAGGTGCTTTGCCCACTGAAATGTAAAATATTAATCAAGATTATATAGTTTAATGTTGATGACGAAAAACCTGTAATTAGGCATTATATTCATAATAGAACCATCTACCTAACAAAACCACAACATCAATGACACTAGTATTTTTAATTTCGGTCGAAGAATTGATTATACACTTCATAATCCATATGTTCATGTTCGTGTTCATATTCATATTTAATTTATTTCATATCCGTGCACATATTTGTGTTCGTGTTTCAATTCATTCGAGTTTGTCAACAATGATTTATTATATTTATACCTTATTGTTTTGTCTATAAATAAACTTAAAATAATCTCATGTGTCATCTTATTTTATGCGTTCTTTGCATTTCACATTTTTTTTTAATACATCCACCTTATTTTTTACTTTATAAAATCATTTCTTTTGATTCTAAATTATGTATCAATAAATTTAAGTAAAAATGCCAGTAATTACAAGTACGTACCAATGTATAATTACATATATACATATATAAAAGTATAATACTTGTAATCTTGTATGGAAATATTATAACATTTGAGCACATAATAGTTAATTCTAGAAGTCATTTGCCACTAGAACTCGAAGTTAACTTTATAAAAAAAAAAAAAAAAAAAAAAAAAAGGGTGCTACCACTAAACCGTTGATGTTTATTGAGGCCGACAATATCTTGCGAAAGTTGTTACGTAATTTTCAGGTAACTAAACATATTCATTGAGTTCTTGATTTTAGTAGTCCATCTTCATTTAGTGATCTTAAAACCAATTTTACTATTAGCAGCATATAGAATAAAAAAGATATAAAATATTCCATTATAGTTTAGTTTAAAAAAACTAATGGAAAATTGGATTTGATCAAACATGACATCGACAATTTGTTTTAAATTGTTCCTTTGCTATTGTCAAAAAAAAAAAAAAAAAAAAAAAAAAAAAAAAAAAAAAGACAATTTGTTTTAAATGTATTATTTTTTGAATAAATTTATCATTGTGTGCTAAATGATATGCTGGTCACTAGAGAAAGAATATTAGGGAATATCTCAATTATATGATTGTTTAAATTTAAATAATGAAAGGTATTTTTTTAATGTTAAAAAATTATGGACAAATATAATTTGAAGTGCACTTAAATGTTAATAACAAACTACTCTATTTGTAACGTACCAAACCAATGACCAAAAATCCAAAATAAATAATGAACAACAACCAAAATCAATTTAAAGCTAAACTGAATATTAATCAACTAACATGCAAAAAAAAAAAAAAAAATGTATATAGTAAGATGATTAAAGGTGGTGATACACGTGAGTTATTATTATTTAATATTACTCAAAAAGTATATGAAATAGTTCATGATCTCTTTATTATATTGAAGCATGGCATATATAACTATCTTTCATTATTTGTCACATGAAATCTACAATTTTGGATCAATAATAACGGTGTTTTTTCTACATAGTCGAAGATAGACCTAGTTATTAGATTTAAGCTAGTCCATATTAGAGAAAAGTTCTCGATCATGTAGTTTCATCCTAAAATCAATCGCTATATAAAGCGTAGAATCTGTCCCACTTGACTTCTACGGTTTATACTCGTATTAGTTTCGTTATAGTTGATGAAGGCTTTATTCAATCTTTTCATGATCTCACTTATCAGAATACAAGAGAGTTTGTTAAGCCCATGAGAAAATCCACATGTGAGTAGTGTGTTGTCCCACATTGGTTTAGTTTATAAGTAAGAGTTTATATGTGGAAGTATACCACATTGAAATAATATGAAAATTGCATCCACTTTATAAGGCTAAGGGGCTACTCCCCTCATTGCCATATGGTTTTGAGGTGGAACAGCTCCTTGGTCGTGTAAAGTGGACAATTGTATCGGGTGTGGCCCAGACCCGTTTATTAGAGTTGCATTTAACAGATAGCTTTCAACAATCATGTCCCATTTTCATTTGAACAATTTCAACATGAAAGGTAGGATAGTATTTTCCAATTAAGAACAAGGGTCTTTCACCCTATTGTTTGGTTAACCTTATTTTGGTCATCTATACTTCTATTCTTATGAATGTTAATGTATGGGAAGATATGTGAAACAGGCTGACATCTTTCATAAATATGGATATGAACCCAGTATAGCTGGTAAATAGGCTGATATGTTTATAGGATATGAACCCAGTATAGCTGCCAACAGTACAGTGATCACTTCTGTCACCTAAGAACCTAACACACAAAGTAATAACAATTATGGCCGAAAATAATGGAACACCAATAATTAGTAGAACAGTAAATCGACCGATTACAACACAACCTGAAATTGAGATAGAGGATGAAACCCACACTCTAGAAGATAACCGATACCATATGTCGTTAACTCCGCCAAGGAATGTGGAAGTGGAAGAGGACCCTATGGCCGAGTTCACACCACAAGATTTGGAGATAGCAGCAAGGGTGATGAGTGCAATGAGTAAGAAAAGGAAAGAGGCTGAAACGGCACAAGTTGGAGGAGGAGTGTCGTTAACTAATCGGGATGAGTAGCACAATCTGGCAACAAATTCGACAAGGAGACGCGAAAATGAGTCGCCATTAAGAACACATACACCACCACGGCAGACAGAAGGTCAATCTTCAAGTCACACCATTAGTACAAGAATTCAGCAGCAGAGAAGCTCCCAGGTAGAGGGGCAAGTGACACGAACTGTGGTTCAGTTAAGGGCATCACCGTTTGCACAGAGTATCTTGGATCAACCAATGGAAAAAATTAAAATGTCGACCTGTAGGTATGATGGAAGAGGAGATCCAAGTAGATTCATAACGTCCTATGAAGGACATATGATGTTGTACACCAATTCGGATGTTGTTTGGTGCAAAGTCTTTCCGACTACTTTAATTGGGGCTGCGACTGATTGGTTCAATAATCTTGAAAATGGGATGATAAACAGTTTCGAGAGGTTGACTGAGATTTTTGTGGGGCAATATGTAAGTAACAGTGTGCGATAGAGAACTTCAGGGGAATTGATGGCAGTAGAGCAAAGGACGGATGAGTCTTTGAGGGATTATATTAGACGGTTTAACGAGACAAATACAATTCCAAAGTTGCAGCAAGAGATAGTTGTTATGGCTCTGATGAACGACTTAAATGATTCAGAGTTTAAGCGTTATCTTACACGAAAGAACTTCTCGACGTGGCAACTGCTTTTAACAAAGCTCATGATTACATCAAGAGTGAGGAACTGATGAAGACAAGTAACAAGAGCGTGACCGCCGGTAGGGGTCAGTATCAATTTGAGGGTGCAACCTCTGGAAGAGGAAGGCCGAGAACTTCGACCCAGGGCAGAGGAGGGGGAAGTCGGCAGGAAGTTAGGGCTGCAAAACCGCCGATGCGGTACAGTTCATATACACCGTTAAATACACCTGGAGTGGAAATTTATTCGGTGAATCAGAACTGAGAAGGATGGACAAGGCCAATTCCGATGAAGGCAAGGCCTAGGGATGTCAAAAAGTATTGCATGTTTCATAGAGACGTGGGTCTTTATACCGAAGAGTGCACACAATTGAAAGATAACATTGAGGAGTTGATAAAAAAGGGGCATTTAGCTCAATATCGGCTAAATGCAGGAGGAGGTCAGCCGCCCACTCGGCAGATTGAAAGGCAACAATTAGGAGCAAGGCCGGAAAGACCACAAGGTGGGATAATTCGACAAGGTGACGGAGGAATGCCACCATTACCCACATGAAGAGTAGATGTGATAACGGGAGGGCCAGTGCATGGAGGAACGATCAGTGGCGCTAAGAAACACTTATCTGAACATCGTCATTTGGTGTATGCCTTGGATGTTGATTGCCGCCCTCGGCCAGCTTCGATTCCTGACGTGGTGTTCACAGAAGAACATGCAAAGGGAATTGTCTTCCCGCATGATGATCCGCTGGTTCTGATAACAAAGATAAATGGGGCTGACATCAAAAGGGTATTGGTTGATGGGGGTAGCTCAGCAAATGTTCTGTTTATGAAGGCTTTCACTAAGATGAAAATAGGAAGGCAGTATCTGACACCGGTGTCTTATCCGGTTATTGGGTTCAATGGGTCAACGGTGAGGCCATAAGGAAGTATAATGTTACCAGTCAGACTAGGTGATGGGCCGAAGGCAAGGGATATGATGGCAGAGTTCCTGGTGGTTGATGTGTCATCAGCGTATAATGCAATTATCGGCAGACCGATAATCCATGATGTGCAGGCAGTAGTGTCAACTTATCATCTCACAATAGCTTATGTGTCGAATTTGGGGGCAGTTGAAAATTTTCATGGGGGCCAGGTGATGGCAAAGTCTTGTTATATAACGGCTTTGAAAAATCCAGTTGTGAATGGTCCGATACCGAATAATCCAAGGAAGGAAAAAGAACCAACAGTGCAGGATTTAGCCATGAAAAACGTTGATGCAAGGCCAGAGGAGATTCCGAGGTCGTTGCCAGGTGGAGAGACAGTGCAAGTTGAGTTTCAACCAGGAAATTCGAGTCGGACGGTTAAGGTTGGGGCGGATATGGATGTGGATATGAGATGTCACTTAATAAGTCTGTTGCGTGAGAATGCAGATGTTTTTGCATTCTCGGCGAGTGAGATGCCAGGAATACATCGAGGGGTGATGGAGCATAAGTTGAACGTAGAAAGGAAGTTCAGACCGATAAGACAAATGAAGCGCAATTTCTCAACTGAGAAAGTAGAAACTATACAAGCTGAAGTCAACAAGCTCTTGGCAGCAGGGTTTATTGAACCATGTACCTATCCGGAATGGTTAGCAAATGTTGTGATGGTAAGGAAACCGACAGGAAAAATGGCGGATGTGCGTAGATTTCACCGATTTAAACAAAGCTTGTTCGAAAGATTTCTATCCATTGCCTCGTATAGATAAGCTAGTAGACTCCACTTCCGGCCATGCAATGCTAATTTTCCTAGATGCATTCTCAAGATATCATCAGGTCAGTCTCCACAACGCAGATAGAGCCAAAACAACCTTTATAACGGATGCCGGAGTGTATTGTTATAAAGCAATGCCGTTTGGGTTAAAAAATGCGGGAGCTACATATCAGAAGTTGGTAGATAAAATCTTTGAAAAGCAAAAGGGGCGAAATGTGGAGGTGTATGTGGATGATACAATTGTGAAGAGTAAGGAGCAGGAAGATCACATAGCGGACTTGAAAGAAACATTTGAAACATTGCGAAGATATTAGATGAAATTGAATCCTGAGAAGTGTGTATTCGCAGTTCAATCAGGGAAGTTTTTGGGCTTCATGGTCAGCGAACGGGGAATAGATGCAAATCCTGATAAAGTGAATGCAGTACTGGAAATGAAGCAGCCGAAAACTATTCGGGACATACAGAGATTAACTGGGAGAATGGCAGGGTTAACCCGGTTTATTAGCAAGTCGGCTAATAAAGCCCTTCCGTTTTTTATGGTTTTACGAAAAAATAAAACATTTGAATGGGTAAAAGAGCAAATCGATGCACTAGAAGTGGTGAGAAACCATTTGAGATCTCTCCCGACGGTAGAAAGACCGGAGAGAGGCGAGTTGTTGCAACTTTACATCTCTGCCTCACCAAAAACAACTGCAGCAGTGTTGCTAGTCGAGAGAAAAAGACAATAGATGCCGATATATTTTGTCAGTCATGTGTTGTGTTGAATGCGACAGAGCGCAGGTATCCGTTAATTGAAAAATTGGCGTTGGCAGTGGTAATGGCGGCAAGGAAGTTGAGGCCGTATTTTGATTCTCATCCTATAGATGTTCTAATTAATCATCCATTGGAAAAGTCGCTGCAAAAGATGGATACGTCGGGCCGATTATTAACATGGGCAGTAGAGTTATCAAAGTACGAGATACATTATAAGCCTAGAACATCAATCAAGGCTCAGGCCCTTTCGAATTTCATTGTTGAAACCTCATACAATGATGAAGAGGAAGAGTTGGGAACTTGGCAAGTGTCAGTGGATGGCTCCGCAACATCAACAGGGTCAGGGGCAGGAGTTGTAATAACGGCTCCAGATGGCAAACTTTTTGAATATGCAATGAAATTTAAGTTCAAAGCCACTAACAACGAAGCTGAATATGAAGCTACAATAGCTGGGATTCAGTTGTCAGTAGCAGCAGAAGCAAAACGCCTAGTTCTAACAACTGATTCACAGTTGGTATCCAGTCAGTATACCGGAGAATATGAAACACGAGAGCCAACAATGATAAAGTATCTTGAAAAAATGAAACAGTTAATAGCGCAGTTGCAGTATTTTGAAATAAAGCTGGTACCAAGAGCGCAGAACGCGCAGGCCGACGCGTTGGCAAGATTGGCCAGTTCGAGCTTTAATGATTTAGAGAGAACGGTTATGGTGGAGATCTTAACCCAAAAGAGTATAGATGAAGAATTGGAAACGGTTCTGTGTATCAGTAACAGCACCCAGTGGTTTGATAAAATTGTGGCATATCTCCTGTATTGGGCGTTACCGCTTGATAAGGGGGAATCAAGGAAGTTGCGGAGAGATAGTGTGTGGTTTATTATGCATCAGGGTCAATTGTATAAAAGGGGATTTTCATTACCGTTGCAGAGATGCATAACAGATGTTGAGTCAGCCAAGTTAGTTGAAGAAATACATGAAGGCACCTGCAACAATCATCTCGGTGCAAGAGCTCTATCACGAGAAGCAATGAGAAGGGGATTTTACTGGCCGACTATGAATGAAGATGCCGTCAGATATGTAAAAAAGTGTGAAAAGTGTCAAAAATTTGCGCCTGTAATCAATTTGCCACCAGATGATATAACTCCGATGCTTAATCCAATCCCTTTTACTCAATGGGGGATGGATATAGTAGGGCCATTTCCTTCAGCAACAAGAGGAAGGAGGTTTTTTATAGTGGGGGTTGACTACTTTACAAAGTGGATAGAGGCAGACCCGGTAGCAAATATAATAGCATTTGAAGTAAAAAAGTTCATCTGGAAGAGTATCTTCACCAGGTTTGGTTTGCCGATGGCAATGGTGTTTGATCATGGGTCGCAATTTGATTGTAAGCCAGTCAAAGATCTTTTAGCAATGTACAAAGTCAAGTTTGCATATGCAGCAGTATGTCATCCACAGTCGAATGGCCAGGTCGAATCCGCAAATAAGCAAATCATAAAGGCAATTAAAAAGAAAATTGAAGATGCGAAGGGTTTATGGGCTGATTTAATACCAGAAATCCTTTAGGCTAACAGAACAACGGTCAGAGAAGCAACAGGAGAGTCACCTTTCACCTTGGTATTTGGTACGGAGGCATTGGTGCCAGCAGAATTAGGATTACCGACATTCAGAATTCAGCATTTTTGTGAAGATCAAAATGATTTGTTGTTACGACAGTAGCTGGATTTCTTACCAGAAGTACGGGAAAAGGCAACAGTTAAATCGGCTGCCTACAAGGATAGGATGTCAAGAGCCTAAAATAAGCGAGTTGATTATCGTCCTTTGTGTACTGGAGATCTGGTTTTGCGAAGAACATCAGCAACTGGAAAGGGAAACAATGATGGAAAGCTAACAGCAAACTGGGAAGGGCCATATCGAATTAAGGATATGGTAAGGCAAGGGTCTTATTACTTAGAAACAATGGATGGAAACCATTGAAAAATGTTGGAATACGGCAGTACTAAAGAAGTACTATGTGTAATAAATGTAGTCTTTTTGTAAATGCTGAAGCTAATATCGTCTTAAAGATATTAGCAATAAATATAAGAAGATTCAGACAACTTGTGTTGAAAATAGGCATCCTCTACTTAACAGACCACCGTTAAGTGGGACAGACAGCTAAAAACCGCTTCCGTGAAATTAATGAACTTATAACCTGATCAGTTGTAATCATTAATTTGCGAGGTTGCTGGTTTAAAATATAATACCGGTAAAATCAATTAAGGTATAGGCCGACAAGAGGCATATCCTTAATAATTGATCACCGAGAGGGTGCCTGACTGGCTAAAAAAATAAAGCAGTAGGTGACCGATATCGTACTTTGAATTAGCAACCATATCTCTGCCCTAGTGCATATGGTTGCATAGCAAACATATACACAAGGGGGGTGCAGGAGATGTGGTGAGAGTAAGGATAAAGAACTATATATATAAAGATGAAAGCCGATAAGATTGCTCAAGATATGAAATTTAGCAAGTAAAAATCTTTTTGACAAAAATATAAAAAAAGTTGATAATTAGAAATAACGTGATAGTTAAAAGTGCGAATAGTACAATATGTCCACAATAATTAAAGATGACAATTGACAGGCATCACCACAAAAAAGGGTACATGCCGATGAAACAGCATTGTCAAAAAACAGTTGAGTAAAAAACAAAGTATTACATATGACACGTTATAGCTGATAAGGCTCAACTACGCAAGACCCCTAGGAAGATGTCGGTGATGACTGCCCGCCCCTTCAAGCTTGTGTATCTTCAGGCACTGGGGAATTCAAAATGCTGGGGTCTTTAGGGTCGTCATCAACACTCGGCACCAAGTTGAAAAGATCCTCATCAGAAAACTTTTGTTCCTCAAAGCCGGAAGGAATTTTGTAAGCTTCCTCATTGAAAGCCTTTTCAACTTTAGCCCAGTCCTTCTTCTTCCAACCAGCAGCATGGGCGATGCATCTCTGGGCGGCAGTCTATCCTCCATCGAAGCGGTCTTAAAGCCGCGCACAGAATTCCTGAGAGGCCAGATATCGACCAACAACTCTCTGTCGGAATCTGGGCTTGTCGGCCTCTAGATTTTGAACTTTCTCTTCGAGATTGTTGATGGTTACCTTAGCACCATTGAGATCCCTTTCAAGGGTAGAGAGGCGCTCAATGGCTTGATTCTTCTCGGTAAACTAGGCTTTAAGCTGTTGAAAAATCCAGCTCAAGCCCCTCAACTTTAGCAGCTTTTGTCTTTAGAGCAGTCATCTCAAGATCATCTTTTGCTTTTATCTCTTTTAATTTCTTTAGAGTCGTATTAGAGTTGTCTAAGGCCGTTTTCAGCGAGTTTTTGCTAGTAGAAGCCTGATAATGCTTCTCTTGATAATATCGGTACATTTCTACGAGCTCAGTACCAGACATAACAGCCTAAATGAGAATAAAACGAGTGTAAGTCAGCACAAGTGAACGAGTGAAAATAATAGCAAATAAAAATATAGATGATGATGACGAATGCGATGATTCAGTACCTTCATCATGTTGTGCATATGTAGGGCAGCAAGAGGACCAATGGCGCCGGCAGGTCTGTCCATTGGAAGAGTCAAATTACTAAGAAGCCGATATCCAAGAGTTCCACCTTGCATTGGATCATCGATAATCATCGACTCATTCTGGTATGCATCGATACCGGGCTGCCAGTGATCTCCAGAGTGGACGAAAGGCGCAGTAAAACCTTTAAGAACTTCCTCTGGAAACCTCCCATCAGGGCGCTTGATCCATTGTTTGTCTCGATATATGAGACCAGGAATGCTGGTATCAGAACCGCCGGCAACAGTAGGAATGGGCTGAGTTATCAACTGGCTGGTAGTGTTGGGCTGAGTGTGAGGAGATTCAGGAGTGTTGGTGAGGTCTTCAATCTCCACCCCTTCTGTCATCTGTTTAATGGTAGGTCCAAGACTTTGAACGACTATTTTGTCCTGAACTTTGGGAGAAGGGGGTAACTCCTGGTCCTCGGCTTGATTTTTCTTGGCAGCGCGCCCATCAGGTTGTCTACGGCTATTAGCTCCAGCACCCCCACCTCGTCGGTTAGCGAAAGAAGTTAATCTCCTTCTCTTTGCGCTATAATCATCCATCTTTTCAGCCCTTCTTTTAGCACTAACGGCAGGAGCACAGCTACAATATGAGGCAAGAGTGTCGTAAGAGGGTTTTGAAGCTCTTGGAAAATGCTTAATAACCTTACTTTTGTCAGCAGACAACCCAAGATGTTTATTATCTAGCTTGTCGATACCTGAAATTTTGATGAGTAAGAATGTCAATTTGAGTTAAAATAAAAAGTGGTACACCAAAACAAATATATGTAATAATAATAATAAAATAAAAAAAAAGAGAAAAAAGAGTATAAGTTAATAACTATAAATAAATTAATACCATGATGGTCAGTTCAGCAAAGACCGACACGAGATAGAGGCGCGTTGCCGGGAATGTAACTCACATTCGACACCCACACCTTGGGAGTTAGACGGATTTTGCCATCGCCATTGTCATATTCCAAAATATCAAAGTGATTAACAGCCCTGCGCTCGTGTTTGCCGAGATCTCTCTCGGGAAGGGAATCAAACCTTGGGTGAGGTTGGAAAAATGTCATTCTGAGTGGGAAATCATCAGGAACAAACATGAAGAAAAATTTGTCTTGCCAGCCTTTACAGCTTGACAACTTAGGGTGCACGGTATACTTATGAGGTTGGGCATACAAGGACCACCACCCTACCGATTGTCCATCCCTTTTTAAGGTAATCAATCGTCTAAACGCATTAAGAGTCAATAGGTAATTTCTGTACAACATAACCCATACCGTGGCAATAACGACATGGATAGTAGGAGGAGTTAACTGCACTAAGAAAACATTCCAGGCCTTTAAAATTTTGGCAACAAAAGGATGGAGAGGAAAACGAAGGCCAAAATCAAAATGCTTTGTGTAAACGGCAACGTAACTTGCCGGGAAATCTAGTACTGAAGATCCGGAAGGAGGAATTATCAGCTCATACTCGTCAGGGAGGTTATAGAATGCTTTAGCTCGACGACAGTAATCTTTTTCAAGGGTCGTTTTCCTAAAAGTTTCATTTATTTTAGCTTTTGCAATTTTGCCGTCGTCGGCCAAGACGAGGGGTTGTCGGAATTCCGCTCCATCTGTCTCAGAGTTGTACCCATCGTCCAAACTCTCTTCCTAGATAACCTCCGCGGTCATGTCAACAACGTCCTCTCTATTCTCAATGTTGACACTACCTTCTTGAGTTGCATCATCGCCAAGAACAGAATTAACGGCAGAACCGTGCACAGGAGAGGGCTGATTTCTCTGTGGGCTTGAAGGGATTTCCTTGTCACCTGATTCGAAAAAACTCACGACTTGTGCCTGCCCAGGTTTTTTACTGGATTCAGCTTCTTCAACAGCCTCATGGGCAGCGACCTCAGGCTGATAGATGGTATGCTTTACTCTCAGCATAGTGCTTATACCTATATTGCCAACGTTAGTGTCGTATTGATCAAAATGTCGTTCCTCGGCAAAGCTGCATAAATGATAACGAACACTAACAAGCTCAACATCAAGAATTTCAGAATCGGCAGGGATATCAGGGTTGCTCGGATTCATATATTGTTCACGAAAAGCAATAATCCTATGACGAATATAGGCACGTTTTTGCTCCTCGGAGGTTAAAGGTTCAAAGGGGTAATTAATGTTATCAGATAGAGATGATGAATTACCTTGATCCCTACCGACTTCTTTGCCTAAAGATTGTCTAATTAAACGACGCCTAACAGTGCTAAGACTAGGCAACTCTTCCTCATGCTATTTTCAGACATTTATTTTTTAAAAAAAAAAAGAAGAATAACCCAAAAATCGAGCAAAGAAAAATAACATGCAAATTAAAGTTAGAGTTTGAGAATACCTTCGACAACAGTCAGTGCGAGAATGACGAAAAAGCGATAGTGACGAACAAAAGAAAACACTCACTACTGAAAAAAGAAGGATGCAGTATAGAGAAATAGAACACTGAGAAACAAGGAAAACTCGTCAATAAATTACCGAAAAATGGACGAAGAAGATTGAAGAAAAGGAAAAAGTGAAAGCTAAAAATTGAATGAATTTTTTTTAATCTAAAAAGGGAAGTTGAAGAAACTGTTGAAGTGAAAGGCGGTTCAGAGATCCAACAGACGAGATAAAAGCAACATTTTAAAAAGCAACAGTGGGATAAATGACACGTGTCTCTAACTTCCAATTTTTCCCGCCCAATGACATAAAACCCTTCAACTTCCGCTTGCTAGATTCCAATAAATTATTTTCAAGTAGACCTTGTCTGCTATCGGCAAACAAAGTCACTTGGGGGGGGGGGGGAAACGGAGTTTTTTCCGCTCCCAATTGTTTTCAAGTAGATCTTGTCTGCTATCAGCAAACAAGGTCGCTTGGGGGGGAAACGGAGTTTTTTCTGCTCCCAATTATTTTCAAGTAGACCTTGTCTGCTATCGGCAAACAAGGTCACTTGGGGGGGGGGGGAACGGAGT